TTCATTGAAAAGTGATGATGAATAATTGAGATATCACTGGGAAGCTGAAAATTAGTTAATTATTATAAATAATGGGCATATTTTCAACCCAAAACTAATCTAGTCTGTGCATTGTCCCAGAGCATCTATATACCAAGTTTCATTGAAACTTCACATCAAGTGTTGTGGATCAGTCGATTATGGTACATCAAACTTCAGTCACCACTCTTCGTTGCTGCTCAAAGTCACACACCATTCCCCATGCCCAGGCCCCAGACTTTTGCACCCCAACTATACTTGCCAATAAATAGCACCAGTTGTGGAAGAACTTTCCATTTTAGCAGAGCATGCACTCAGAAATGCCCAGCTGCCCAGGCTCAACCTAAATGTTACCGTCCAAGGGAGTGTGTGCTTAAAGGGAGAGGCAGCTCAACCAGTCATATCCTGCTATGAACAAGAAGGTTTTGACTAGTACCATAAGAAGCAGCCCTGATGTATTGTATAGAGGATGTGTTAGTAGTTCATTCCAGCTCAAACCCTGTACAGATGTGCATCATTCCAATTTTCACATATCTGGTATGTGTATGTGTACAGTTTGACATGGCTAAAATACAGAAAAAAACAAACATATTATGGTCTGTATGGGAGCCCCAATGGCAATCATGTACTGCAATTTTCTTGATCTGTTTGGTTCCTGTACTAATGTCTAGTCGCCAAACCAATCATGTTCAGCACCAGTGAGGTTCATTGACATGGTCCCCATACAATCAATCGTAACACAGGGAAAGACATACCTCTGCAATAACAAAATTGAAACACAAAGGTTTGTGTAAACCTGGTAGGAAACTTTAAAGTCAGCAAGTCAGCAGCCACTGCCATGCTTGGACACACATCTGTTCCCACCACCACTCTCGCACACCCCAGTGGCATCAGGCTGTGGTTATGTCTAGACCAATGGAGGGGGTAGTCACTCTTTGTCCAGCAACTAATCCTAGTTTTTACACTCACTTGTACCAAAAGAATCAAGAGACACAAGAAAGTGGTTGACTTATGCATGGATTTAAAGAAGTTGAGAATGGTCACCCGATATTATAATAATTATCTTTATTGTGTTCGTATTCCTATTAGGATTTTGACTAAAATGCAATACAGATGTGAATAAAAACAAACATACAATTAAAGTGTGAATAAAAATACACACAGAAAAATAAAAACTGACAAGCAAATAAAAGTAGGGGGGAGAAAAAAAAAGTAAATTGGATTGTTTTTCATATTTGGGTTAGTGAATGTTTGGATTTATTTACTAATGCATGTACATGACCTTATCTTGAGATAGCTGACTATATCAGTTTTCAGTTTTTCCTCTCTTGTTTTGAAACAGTTGTCTATGTATTTTGCTATTTGTATTATTGTTTTCTTACTTTATTATTTAAAATATATTTTAGTTTTTCTTTATCGTTTGCTAACAGCTGATAAAGTTTTTTTCTTTCTCTCACATAGAGATCACATGTTAAAAGAAAATGTTCTTCGTCCTCTATAGCGTTATTTTCATAACATAGACATTTTCTGTCAGATATATGTGTTATTATATCTCCCAGTCTCTATTTGTAGTCTGTGAGCACTAATCCTCAATTTTGTCATTGATGATCTGTGATGAGTATTTTTGACTTTGTGTAAGTAGTTTTCAAAGCCGATATGTCAGACCGAACGACTTTATGGTAGCATTTGATCTGAAAGATGGTTACATACACATACCGATCCACCCATAGAGCCAATTGCTATTGAGGTTTGCAGTAAAGGCAATGGCCTACCAGATTGCAGTTCTACCATCAACCCTTGCTCAGCTTTATGGGTGTTTACACAGATGAGCATTGCGGTGGTGTGTCAGCTCCACGCCATGGGTGTCTTTGTGTATCTTTGTGTACATAGACGACTATTATTTCTCGACATGTGAAAGAAGCATTGTCAGCATCTTCACTGGCACTCTTGAACTTACTAGGGTTTGTAATCAATAAGGGGAAATCTCAGTTAGAAATAACATAGTCTGACTTACCTAGGGATGATGTTAGATACATGAAAATTGATTTTCCGACCCTCAGACAAATGCTGCCTGAATATCAGTGAACGGGCACTACTAATATTTCAGCAATTCACAACATCACGCAAGATAATGTAAATGGTGGGAATGATGTCATCAGTGAGAGCCCTAGTACCACATGCATTGATGGATCTGCAAGCACAGCAGCACTGGAATGTTGATCAGTTGAACAGACATATAAACTGGAAGAGTTGAAAGTGGCTCAGTTGGTTCTATTGACCAATCACCTTTTCTCAACAACTTAGCAGTTTTAAGTTCTTCAATTGGTTTACTCAGTACAACATAAATCTAGAGTGCAAGCACATCAAAGGAGAGTACAATACAGTAGCAGACTCACTGTCTCAGACTAAATTTCAACAGAACAGAGTGGCAGATATCGTTGAAGATCCCCATGATGCTCTTCGTTCTCTGATCAAAGCCAACAATCGAAGTGTTCACCACACCACTCAACAACAATTTGAACAAGTTTGTGACCTGCATACTATGTAGTCTAACTTGGAAATGGGACATCATCTCTGTGTTGGAATGATCTTGATGTGTACGCTTTTCCACCGTTTTCGATGATGCTTTCAGTACGTAGAAAGTTGTCTATCAAAAAGAACAATGATGTTGATAACACCGTTCTGGTCGAGTAAAGGGTGGACCCCCTTCTTGTTGCCACTATACACATACAGCAACCCAGGAGACTACCCTACAACCTGCTATCATTGACGATGCTCCATGTGGGTGACAAACCCAGGGCTTCACACTTCCAGACTCAGATTGGGCCAAGGCATTTTAGAAGGACTACCCAATGTCATGGCACAATCCATCAGAGACAGAAAAATTTGGTTACTGTCCCTGGAGACACTTCTGTCATTGGCAACACAAGGTACATCTTGTCTATCCCTCTATTCCCAAATTAGTGAATGTAAGCAACTTTAGTGTCTTGTTTTACATTACTTTATCTTTTCGCCATTATAAGTCCAAATATACTTAATTTTTCATAATTATATTTAGGCTTTGCATACTTTTGTATTACGAGTAGTATTTTTTGTTTGATGTTATATGCATACATCCATCCATTTTTTATATATAGCAGGGCTCTTGTGGAAATCAGTTTTAGTTGTTTCAAGGCTAGTCTGAATTGATAAATACATTTTACAAACAAATTTAAAGACAAACTCTATACACAATCAAGATCTTGTTTCCAAATAAATTCTAGTTTTTCATTAATTAACACTAAAATGGCTGCCATTCGGCCATCTTAAATAAATCAAAAAACAAATGGCACGACCGAGATACAGGCATAAATTGACAGACGCACAGAGGTGAAATTATAAGTACCTGTTTTTTAGATGTGTATTACAGATTTTCCCGCTTGTCCATGGTCTTGGATTATTAAGTCAATCTAACTTCCTTTTTCGTGTGTAGAAAATATCTTATTCAATACTGCTTTTACAACCCGTATTTGCTACTTTCCAAAAAGTTCAACCTGCCTATTTACTGCAATTACTACTACATGAATCAGACACATGACACAAAATATCACATTTTATTTACATATTATTGCCAAATAAGTTCATTTCAAAGGAAAAGCAGGTGAACAATGAAAGAAGGATGAGAAAAAAGAATGAAATTTATGATTTTAGTCAAACAAAATTGCTGACAGTCGACAATCTTGGATTAGATTGTAACACAAATCAACTTTTATTAATGTGCTAGCAAACAAATGTCTGTGAACTAAGTTTGTATGTACCAGTAATTGGAATTTGGGGTATAATACGAAATGTGCGAAAGTGGCTACCAAGTGACCATCTTAAATTGGTTTGTGCTATGTACGAAGTTTGGAGAAAATCGGTCAATAAACCTCTGAGATAATGAGACCAAAGGATACATGATGAAACCCAATCCATAAGCCCTTAGACTATATCCTTCAAATCCAAATGTGATGATTGGATTGGTTTGGCAGGCAATACCCTCCATTCTGCGAAGACATGTATACAACATATAACTGCTGTTTATAAATAACATACATGCCTTTACTGAATTTAGTGTAGTTCATTTAATGAGGTAATTATATTACTCTACTCATAAATGGATTATGAATGGTATAACAATGTATTATTTATATCTATTTGATTCAGAATACTTTTATGCAAGAACCGTGATTCCAAAAGAGCAAGTATAACTTTATGTATAAACCGTTTTAGTTATAGAGATAAGCAATGTTCTGTGTTTGGGCAGAATGTGATCACAATTAAAAAAAAACACTTTTTTTCTACAGTTGTGTAATGATTCTTCATGTTAAAGCGAGAGGGTCGTCACCTGCGCACACACGGGAATTGAGTCCCAAGCAACAATAACAACACACGCTACAAACGCAAAGACTCATGGGTAGATGATTGTTTGTAAACAATGACACGCTGTGACCATCTGACGCGTGCACAGGTGACGACTCCCTCGCTTTAATATAACTATATAACAAGCTTAAATTTACAGTGTAAGGATAAAGATAATTACTGTAGAATACTTTATTTTCGCTTGGAATTTATTTTCGCTATTTTCGCTGAAGGGATGATTCCGTGAAAATAAAATCCAGCGAATATACTTTTTTTCCTATATTTCACATTCAACTCATCAAAAATCAGTGAAAATAAATTCCATAAAGAACGCCCAAAAAGCCTTTTCAGCGAAAATTAATTCCAGCGAAAATAAAGTATTCCACAGTACTTATTTCAAAAGATTTTGTACAAAAATGAACCTTTTCACAGACATCATTAATATTTGTCACCTTCCACACAAAGTAATCCGGCATGGAATCTGCTTGTTATCATGACAAATATGATAATATTTTCAATTAATTCTATTGTCAATTAATGTTTTCATTATCAAAATAGAAGGCAAACATGAAAATATTTGCACCAAAATATGAAAGTAAAATGGCCTAACCAATATAAAAAAACATGTGAAACTGTTTTTTCATGAACGTAACGTAATTTGTGACTAATAGATTCCAAATATTTACATTTCTTCAGTAACTGTCACATTTGAAAATAAAAAAAACATTACAAATAATTTAAATATTATTTTAAAACAGAATACAGCAATACTGTATTAATATTTGGTGCATTCAAAATTCCTGGAACAACAATGTTAACCATTGTGGTCAGTCTGTTACATTATTATTCATATTAGTTGATATTTTAGGCTCAATAACTTTTTTACTTCAATCTCATGTGTAAGACATACAAATTTAAAGATTAAAATTTAAACACTGTAGACGCTGTCAGGATATCACACATTTCCTTCCCATATGTCTTCCTTCAACTTCTTCTCTCCTTTCTTTTTATCTGAAAAATATCAAAATATGACGACTTTACAAATTTGATTTAAACAAGTAACTTGTAGAATGCTGTGTTGGTAATATTTTTATATTGATTTTTGTTGCATTTGCAGCAAATAGTAACCAAACAATGAGAAATCTATTGGATTGGATATACCTCTCAGCTGGCTTCACATACATAGCTCAAGCCTGCCTAACCGGTGCTTATACCAAGATTTAGTTGCAGCAGCAAGACGATCTGTGGTTACAACTTCATGTTCCGAGTAATCGCAAGAAATTGACATTGCAATAGAAAATAAAAGACTGGCACTCCCATGCAATTAATAGCAAGTGAAAAGACTGGCACTCCCATGCAATTAATAGCAAGTGAAATGCCTGGGATTGAAACATAGATTTTAAAGTCACTGATGTAGGCAATGACTAACGAGGTAGTTTATTTAACCAGTGCTGAACTACAAGCTGAAATTATAATTAAGTTAAGTTAATTTGTTTATTTCAATTTCTCCTGTCAAATAGAATACATCGATGAATGAATGTTTTGGGGTGTCGTTTACACTGTGTATAAAGTGGTAGGGTTGGATGTCATATAATTTGTTCATTTCCAACTCTCATGAAGTAACATAGAATTTCACTTAATTTATTTTTGTTTTCAAGCATTACGTGTGAATCCAATTTTCACTGTGCTGCGTCAAGTCTCAATGGAGTTTGAGGGAAATGGCATTTTCACTAGAATTTATTTTAGTGGAAAAAAGTTTACAGTGAAAATGATATAATTCACATTATTACATATGTACTGCAGTTTATTTTGATTCGTCCCTGAAATCAAAATCAGTATTTCCACACCACATATGCAAATGAGGTCTGAGAGCAAACGGAGTAATTCTTTCAAGAGTAGCATTTTTCGAAACATAGCAGAAATAAACTATATTTAGAAGTACGACATTTTACACTTGGGTACATGAATATACTTGCCGAGTGAAATAAAATGTGAACAACAGTAATGGTACTTCTAGGCAGGCACTTATTTTTACTAAAACTAATTTGCATATCACCCATGCAATAATGTTTTTGGTATTTTCACGGTCAATATGCAAATGAGCATGGTATTGCCGATCCGCTCGATCTTAGCAGGTAGATCACACTTTCATCAGGAAAAAAATTGCCCACTGTTGCCATAGCAACAGCCAAAAAAACTGGTTTGTTGACAGCTTCGCGCTAAATGTATCTCCTCCAACAAATTCAGGATACAACATCTAAGACAGCTCTTTTTACTCGGCTTGAGTGTTGGCACAATGTTACTTTTTGTAAAATCTGAAAACAAATTCTGGCCACCGTTTCCATGGCAACAGCCAAAAACTGATTCTTTTGATACCTACACATCAAATGTATCACACCCTACATTTCTATGATTAAAAAGCACGGACATAGCTCATTCCACACAGCTTGAGTGTGGGCAACAACTCAATGGGTTTTTTTATGTCTATTTTCATTACCAAGAAAATTGGCCCCAACGTTGGGGTAACTTTTCGCCAGCAACAGCTTTTAACTCGTCTCTGAGATTTGTTTTGGCTTGGCTAATTGTGTTCATACATGACAGGCAGGTCGTACCATCACTAATTTGAAAAACAATCCTGCTACCATGGGAACAGCCAAAAACTGTTTTTGAATACTTTCGTCCCAAATGTATCACCTCCTACCAATCTTGTAATAGCAATGTTTAAATGATCATGCCTTTTATTTTGGCTACGATGCACACTTGCGCTGACATTGTTATACTGTATCAACGTAATCTCAACGCAACTTTGTATGAAATGTAAATGCTATTGAAAAACGGTTGGAAATAATACATTTAACGTCCTAGCAATAAAATAAAGTGACTTCTAAAGACTGAATGCCCGGTTTTAGTTATAAACCGACGTTAGCTCCACGTTCATGTCCGGTCCTACCAACAGCCGAAAACATATTGTTTTTTTTTTTAGCAGAGCGGGTCGTCAACCAGCCTGTTATCTTTGCCAACCGGACTATTTTTATTTTGTATACAAATTTTCGTCTTCTATTTTTATCCAGTTCAAATCGTTCAGCAACATTTTTGGCATATTACAACGAACCGCATAATTGCGTGACATTGGTTTGGAACAGTTGGTCCGTTTGATTGATTGTGCGCATGTCCTGACAGACACCTCATGGTGCCGTCAATTGCTTGTTGGCCGGTATAACTGTAACAACAAACTGGCTACATTTTAAAACAATCAGCGATGAAAAGGCGGAGGTTAATGAGACAAACCATTTTACTCGAAGGAGTGGTCCTGACTCTGTGATCTCATTTGTGCTGAACAAACCCGAAATGTGACAGGGATCGTTCGTATGAAAACAAGATTTCGAAAATTTTCAAAATATACCGATAACTAAATCCTGTGATAAGCTGGAGCTGCCTGGCGCCCCGGTCTGGCAAACCAGTCTGGCACCCATTTGAGTTCAGGAAGTGTAAGTTTTTCTGAACACGCGTTGAGCGTGTACAGTCATCATTGTTGTGAAAAACATTTGTGTGTGTGAAACAGTCCGGGGAATTTTGTTTCAACAAAATAAAACTGTGTTTAGAGCAACTTGTCTTTAATCAGCTTCGAACATTTTCCGTATTCTATATACTCTGCCGTTGAGGAAATTAGACCAGCTGACACCAGATCATTCTTCAGTGCAACAGGATATTTGTTCGTTTAGCTCAGAAACTGTACAAAACGGCCCTTTTTAGGGCCACCACATCCTCCAGAGATATACCGTGTTTTAACGAGCGTAACAGTTTGATTTAGCTGTGGGTCCGTTGCTCTTTTTGTGTCGGCTATTAGTCTTTATGGTGTTTTTTTAGTTGGCGTCATCAAATTTGTTATTTTCAGACATTAGGATTTTTATCGACACAGAAGAGCTATGCCCCCTATAAACTAGCCTAACACAAATGTGCGTCGCCAACACAACATCTACAGTAACCTATTTATATTACATGCAGTGGATGGTTGGGCATTATGTTTGCTCAAATGTATTTGTTTATCATAAATGTCTACTCAACTAACCAAAACATAACCGTTTACAAAGCCTGTCGCCGACACTGTGACGCGTTACGATCTGACTAATTTCACGCAATTGTGATGTTTGTTTTAAATGTACATCACATGGAATACTACGATTGAGAGAACTTGGAGTATGTTGAGTTTTATAAACCCTGAAGGGCTCCAGGAAGACCCCCCCCCCCCGCAGTAAAATTAGCGATTGCCATGGAGCCGCAACCATCAACATCGAAGTACCCGGAGGTTTCTGCTGCCGACGTTGCGGCGTTACCCAGTTCCAAATAAAGATTACCAACGCCAAACATTTTAACCGGAAATCAAGATTCATTCAATCCACGGCTAACTGGCTACATCACAAGCGAAGTTGTAGCGTGCAGTTCAGCGATGACCACTGTCGACGAAAGTCATCCCGTACCGCAGTAGCATGGCATGTTTGCCAATGCAAAATTCTGTGGAGGAACTTTTACATGTAACTTCAACATAAATTTGTGTCAACTTTTCACCATTGTATTCAAACGAATCACGTGGTGTGCTGTTCTCCTTCAAACCCGGCATTCAATCAATAGGGGAGTTTCAGTCAAAAAAAACAAACATCGCAAATCATGCAAATTTAGCATTTTAAAACCAGTATACTAAAACAGAAATGCTCAGAGATGCAAAAGATAGATATATATTACTTTTCAGTATACACATCTCTGTTGATACTATCCCTCACATATTCTACTCCCACTTATTCCTGCGTAAAATGGACTAGCCTCTTTCCATGTTGACATTCAGAGTAAAATCATGTGACATGCTGTTAAAATTGGCTGTTGCATACACTTTCGCCGGTCTGGAAAATGTCATTCAAGCAACAATGCAGACTTCCCAGTGGGAGTGAAACTATTCGACTCTGCCATTAAAAAATAGGGGTGTTTTGAGCAAAAAACGAATAACCTTGGAGTGCACAAGACACACTGAATTTCGGAACAAATCTTGCATTATTTACTGCAGCAGAATACCACAGAAATATCAGACGAAACATGGAAACACTATATATTGTATTTTGGCCTGAACCTTCTCTATTGCAATTCCAGAAATTACCCCCATATGTGCACCCATTTTCCACTTTGGTATCACCCAGCCCTGAAAACAAACTCTTAATACCACGCTGAAGTTTGGTAATGAAAATAGTATAGAGTGAACAATCTAAATTTGCTAAGATAAAAATGCCTTCTTGTGGTTAGAGTGAAGAAGGGTGTTCAAAATATTATGGATGCAAGCCAGTCTGTTGTAATTATAACAACAATCAGACAATTGTCCTGGTCGGAAGCATTTCTGTGGTGGTCACTATTTTTGAGTGCCGGATGGGGCCGACCACCGCCGACCAGCATGGCAAGATTCCTGCCTAGGGCCAGCCTTAGTTTCTAATGTGAAACCACCGACTGTATATAGTGTTGTTATAACATGGTTACCAACATGTAAACAATTGGTATCTAAGCAATACTAACCTTTAGCTTCTTTAAGTTTCTTTCTTTCTGCATCTCTTTTTTCCCTTGAAACAGAACTTTTAATTCCTAGAGCACCACTTACAATTCTTCTTGCTGTAGAGAAAAACAATATTACTATCATAGGGAGACTTATTGATGAAAAAGAATTGGTTTGTTGTTATTAGGTCAAAGGTCAAGGATCAATATGCTAAGGGACAATTATGTCAAAGATCAATATGCTACGGGCACTTATGTCAAAGATCAATATGCTACAGGCAAGTATGTCAAAGATCAATATGTTACGGGGAATTATGTCAAAGATAAATATGCTGAGGGGCAATTACGTCAAAGATCAATATGCTATGGGCAAGTATGTCAAAGATCAATATGCTAAGGGCAATTATGTCAAAGATCAATATGCCAAGGGGCAATTATGTCAAAGACCAATATGCTAAGGGGCAATTACGTCAAAGATCAATATGCTAAGGGGCAATTACGTCAAAGATCAATATGCTAAGGGCAATTACGTCAAAGATAAATATGCTAAGGGAAATTATGTCAAAGATCAATATGCTAAGGGCAATTATGTCAAAGATCAATATGCTAAGGGCAATTACGTCAAAGATCAATATGCTGAGGGGCAATTACGTCAAAGATCAATATGCTAAAGGCAATTACGTCAAAGATCAATATGCTAAGGGCAATTACGTCAAAGATCAATATGTTAAGGGCAATTACGTCAAAGAGCAATATGCTAAGAGCAATTATGTCAGAGATCAATATGCTAAAGGCAATTACGTCCAAGATCAATATGCTAAGGGCAATTACGTCAAAGATCAATATGCTAAGGGCAATTACGTCCAAGATCAATATGCTAGGGGCAATTATGTCAAAGATCAATGCTATCATGGGCAGGAATTATGTTAATGTCTAATTATGCTTCCGGATGCCTAATATTAGTGGGGGTCCACTATTTTGGGAATGATCCTTTTTGTGATAAAGATCCACAGAATACGGTGCCAAGGGTCATTTATATCAAGGGTTAATGGTGCCAGGGGTCAATTACATCAAGGTCTATGATGCCAAGGGTCAATGGTGCCAAGGGTCAATGGTGTCAGTGGTCAATCATGTAAAGGGTCAATGGTGCTAGGGGTCAATTATGTCAACGGTCAATAATAACAAGTTCAATGGTCAATGATGTCAAGGGTCAATTATGTAAAGGTCAGTGGTCAATGATGTCAAGGGACAATTATGTCAAGGGTCAACCGTCAATGGTGCCAAGGGTCAGTTAAGTCAAGAGTCAATTGTCAATATTGTGTCAAATATGAATGGTGCAGAGTCAATATTATGCAAAAGATCAATTACGTCAAATGTCAATATGTCAGTAAAAATTCAAATGACCCAATTATGTATATGGGTTCAAGGGCATTTAGCTGCTCACCTGCCATGGCGCTAGTCTCTGGTCTTGGTTTGTAAGGCTGTAAACAATCCACAAAATTTCTGGCTTTCAATTTTGATTCTCTAGTGGCTGCTATCATAGGTCTTGACTTCAACATCGGATGGGACATTTCCAAGGCACTGTTTGCTAGAGAGAAAAAAACAAACAATGGTCTACTTCTAATAACTGTTACACGAAGTGTAAATTGTGTAGATATATCAAGCCTTATTTTAATGAATGGAACTTACCAGCAATAGGACTAGAGAATATTGCTAATGCATGGGTATCATCTACCCACTTAATATCAAAACCTTTGGATCTACAATAAAGAAAAGTCATAACTGAAATGAACATTTTGGACAGAAATAAAAATATCTTTGTAATTGGAGGAAACATTTTAATATATAGGTACTCAGTTTTAAAAAAATTCGCCTTATTGACAATAAGGACAAAAAGAAAAATCTAAACCTGTGTCTCAAAAATTTTTTTGCAAACTATTGCACCATTTTAAAAGCTTTCCTGGGGTGAGCAGCAAGACAATTTAAAAGAGATGATGTTCAAACTTAAAACTAGCTCTCACCATTTCTGAAAAATAAGTATTTTCTCCAAGCACTAACAAAATACATTTTGGCACTGCATGTTTACAATGCTTATCCTGCCAGTATTGTGAGCACATCATTTGTTTATTTTCTGAAATTATTTCTTAATTTCTATGTGGTTTTAGGACTGAACGTTTGGACTTTACATTGCTGTATCATTTAAAAGTATTAATTACAGGATAATTCAAACTAATT